CCCCTCTCATGGTTCTTCAGAATCCTCCCTCTCTTCTGCGTCCTATTCCAGCCCCGCCCACCCTGTGTCCACAGACTCGTTGGCCTCGTTTACGGGGACACCAGGGTATTATAGCAGCCAGCCACATTCTGGAAACAGCACTGGCAGCAGTCTTCCAAGGAGGAGCTGCCCATCTAGTGCTGCTAGCCCTACCCCGCAGGGCCCCTCAGACTCTCCGACCTCAGACTCGGTTTCCCAGTCCAGCACAGGAACTCTGAGTTCCACCTCCTTTCCTCAGAACTCTAGGTCGTCATTGCCATCAGACTTCCGGACTATCAGTCTGCCCAGTGCTGGGCAGTCAGCAGCCTACCAGGCCTCCAGGGTATCTGCGGTTTCCAGTTCACAGCACTACCCACAGCGCGGGGGTGCGGGGGTGCACCAGTACCGGCTCCAGCCGCTGCAGGGCTCGGGAGTCAAGACTCAGACAGGACTTTCCTAGGGCTTCTGGACTTGGGCAGACAGAACTGAGTGAGCCCATAGCTGCTTCTTCCAGCTGCCTCTGGAACCTAGGCCGAGCATATTGCTGGGGAAGGGGGTACAAGGTGCCAGAGGATTGGGTCTGGTCGACAAGAAACAAGACTTGTGGTCGTGACTGGCTCTGGCCCTGGAGAAAGATGTAAATCTTGTCTGAAGCAGAGACTATAAAGAAGTTTCTCCCTGCTGTTAAGGGTACATTGTTGACAAGCAAATGGTGTTTTGGTTAGTAATGGTTCTAAGTGCAATGAGTTGTGTTGAAGCCTCCGTCTCCCATCCTTGCCTGTAGCCTGTAGTCACTTGTGCAGTGAGGACATCTTTTTAAATCCAAAAAAAAAATTTTTTTTCAAAGGAAAAAAGGTGAAAAGAGTCAATTTCAAAGTCTCGAGCTAGCTGAAGTGGTGTTAGGGTTTATAATGCACTTAAGTAAAAAGGTAGGTATGTAAATGTTCACCCTAAGACAACCATTCCAAAAGCAGGTATCTGGCCAAGATGTGTCCACCAAGAATATTCCCTACCTTTATCTTAAAAACACAAAGAAAGAGATGAACCTTGGAGTGTGCTCTGAGGGGTTCCTGGATCTCTGAAGAAGAGCTTGTAGTCAACTCTTGATTATTCAGGAGGAGATTGTCCTAGTGGTTCTCTGAGCCCCCAGCAGATACCATCCCACTTCCCTTCCCCAAGGTGTTTCACAGCTCAGTAACCCATGGAGTAAGTAGGCAAAGAAGACAGATATGATAAGTGAGATGGGCCAGTTTGCATTGCTATTTATCAGCTATTGGCAATAAATTTGATTAGGAAAGGTCCCAAGTGGTTTGGGAATTCTTTGAATTTTATTTTTTCTACTCCCAATTAATCAGGAGTTGATAATCTCTTGAGTAGGACCGCCTCCATGATTGGGGAGCGTGCACTCGTGACTGCAGGGTAAGCGTGGAAAGACGTGTTTGTGGAGTGGTGCCGACAGGACTGTGATTGTGTGGGGGCATGCCCCATGTGTCTTTGAGGGGGGTGCTTATTTGGCAGTGGCACAGGTAAGAGAGTTCTAAAGCCACCCAAACACCTAACACTGTTCCGGATGAGAGACGAGAGCAGACTGGCTTCTCCCCATCAGTGCATCGTGCCTGTTGTACACCCCTGGAGGAGCCCTGGGGCCAGCCAGGCGGGGTACACAATCTTTTTAAATTCCATACGGTTGCCAGCTTCTTTCTTTCACTTGTTTACTGTAATATCTGGCGTGTTTTTATTTATCTAATTTTGTATTCAGTTATAACCGTGGTAGGGGTAGCAGATACATGACAGGTGTAATCCCTGGTGCTGCAGCGGACCTTACTTCTTTCTTTTGGACAAGATAATACTGTGAGTCTCCCTCCTTCCTTCCCTCCTACTTGTTTTCTCCTTCTTTTCCCTCAGCCTCTTACATCCCCTTCCTTTCTACCCTCTCTTAAAACTATCATATGCACAGTCTTCTCTCTTTGTGTGTGACTGTTACAAAATTTCACTTTTTCAAAATTGAAATCAGGTGTTTGCAAATGAGGGGAGATTTTTTTTCTTTTTTTTTCCTTTTCTTTCTTTTTCTTTTTTTTTTCTTTTCTTTTCTTTTCTTTTCTTTTTTTTTTTTTTTTTTTTTTTTTTGGGCTGAAACTTCAGCAAAATACTTTCCTTTTTGTTGTTTCCCCCACAAACCCATCAGTCTGGGAAAACGTTGGGAGTGGAAATCATGTTGCCTGGGATGCTGGTTTCTTTGTATATTATATAAAACGTATGTAAATGTCTCTCCATTTGGGCTGGGGTTTGCATTCTCCCCTTGGCTATTAACCGAGGGGAGAGGCCAGCGGGCAGGCGGCCCTCACCCTGCCTGGCACGTGCAGAGACCCCAGCCACTCTGTGTGGGCAGGGTGCTGTCAAGACCAGACCTCTGGGGGGGGTGGGGGCGGGGGGTGGGGGGAACTCTTGGAAGGGAAGAAGTGTCACTTCTTTCTCAAGTGGAGTGTTTACACCTTGCTGTAACATTTGAACTTTCACAAGAGATGTAATAATTTTGATAATAAAATTCTTAACCGTAATAATCATAATTTGAGAACTTATTTGTCCAGTTCTGTGACCTTGCCTTGCCTGGTTTTCCTAACACTATTTTTACCTGAAGAGGGTATGATGGACCCACGTTCAGGAGAGTGTGCTTTCGTGGAGTTGTTTTGCCCATAATGGGGCTAGGAATTCAGATTGATCTCCCTTCACCCTTTATTAAAATCAGGCCAGTATTGGGGCCATTTTGTGACAATGGAACTGAATTTTGCAAACTGACTTGAACTAGATGGAGTTCGTGACCTTGGCCTCATTCATTTGGCAGCTTTTATTGGCCTTTTTCTTTTCCATTCAGAAACAATACAAGGCATTGGTTTTGATGGTGGGTTCATGCTTATTAAAATGGGGTGTAAGAGTAGGCAGATAACGTCTCTGCTTTCACGGAGCTTACATTCTAGAGCAGGTGAGATCTAAACCAGTCCATCATCTCAAATAGTCATTACCACGTTATTGTTTCATAGCAGATGTGTAACTAGGGAGATTGAAGGGGATACTCTAGATTGATTGACCTGGGATGGTCTCTGAGAATTTGACATTCCAGCTGAGGTCTCAGTGATTAGGAGGCAGTCGTGGGACGCAGTATGAATAAAGATCATTCCTGGAGAGTAAGAACAGCCGGTGCAAAGCCGCTGAGTCAAAAAAGGCTTGGTTGGGACAGAGTGAATAACCAGGGCAGGGAAAGGGGGCAGCAGATACCAGGAAGAAAGGGGCCAAATCATACAGCAGCAAGCTTTCTGTAAAGGGCTGGACAGTAAATATTTAGACTTTGCAGGCCTTACGGTCTCTGCCCCAGCTGCTTACCTGTGTCCTTGAAGCACGAAGACAGCTATAGGCAACATGTGGCTATAAGCTAATAAAGCTACATTCACAAACACACGCGGCCAGCAGTCAGGTTTGCCCCGCAGGCTGTACTTGAATGGTCCCTAACAGAGCTGTGTGGGTTTAGTTTAAAGAATCTGGATTCTGAGTACAGTGGGAAGGTCATTGCAGGATTTTAAGCAGAGAAGAGACGTGGTCTGATTTACGGTTTGTTGGTTTATTGATCTTTTTAAAGTTACTCTGATTATTTGGGGGAGAGATGAGTAGAAGCCAGGGAACCAGTTTGGAGGCTGTAGTGGTAATTCAGGCAAGCAGCGATACATGCTGGCTTCTATTAAAACGGTGATAGTGGGGATGAGGAGAAGTACTTGGAATCGGGATACATTTTCCAAGTAAACAGCAGTGCTGGCTGGTGGGTTGGTGCGGCAGTGTTTTGCTCTAACATTTCTCTAACCAAATACTCACTGAGAGAGTTAGGATGGACTGCATTTTGCTAAGCATACAGAGAAGTCAAAGGTGGAGAAGATGCTATCCTTTTCTTACAAAGTAACCAGTTGGAGACAAAATAAAAATGCTTATCTTCTGATGATGCCTAGGTAACCTTCCACCAGCCACAACCCAGTTCTGCGTGGGCTAAGAGGAGAACGGGTACATAGCTCTCCTTTAAAAGCATTTTCATTTACAGTGTCTTATTTGGTCTCATAATTCTGTGATGAAAGCAGCCCAGGTGCTAGAATTTAAAGATGAGAGATGGAGGTCTGTTGCAGTATTCCATCTGTACCGTGGGGCTTCTGATGATTGAGTAAGCCCATCTGAGTTTTGTCAGGATTGGAAGGTCCTGCTCCATAATCGTTTACTGAACAGCTGCTGTGCATACTGAACAGCTGCTGATGGGAATGTGAAGGTGAGTAAGACAGCCACCTGCTTATTAAGAATTTCTAGTTTATTTGCTGTTGTTACCAAGTACCTGTTCTATCGCCAGGTGCTTTGCTTTTGATGTGGTATAAATGTTAGAAGCTGAACTGTATTTAAGAAATAAGCTAGTGCACCATTGTATCTTGTATATGACTTCACAGTTAATCAGGCTCTTCCCTTTATGTCATCAGCTATCTCATTCATACTTAACAATGTGTAAGGTAGGGTATTATTTCCATTTTAAATTTTTACTTTAATTTTAGAGGATATAACTATGTCCAAGATTTCTTTCTTCTAAATGGCAGGCTCAAACTGACAGTCTTGGAAATTTTGCAGTTTACCCAGGAAACAAGTAGAGACAGCTAGAGAGAGTTGCTTTGAAACTGACTAGAAATCACTTAACTGGCTGTACCCTTTCTTGCCTTAAAAACAGCAGTCTAACTTTTTTAGTCCTCAGGCATCAGTTTGATGGTATAGGATTCTCCAGCAAAGGTCACCCTGAAGAAAAAAATGCACTATTGTCCAAATGGAATAGGCCATTTGCTTTGAAACTACGCTGATTATTTCATCAACCAGAGCTGGGACAGCCTCCATACCCTGCTGTGAGACTCAGAGAAATAAGAGATCCTGTGCTGGAGATCAAAGAAACAGCTTGGAGAAAAGCATAGTTATTGAAGGAGATGATACTCCCCTGTATCTTTCGCCTGCTCCTACATTCAAAATTTACCTGGCAAAGGTTCTGAGAGAATAGTTTTGGATATTTCTCAAATACCCCGTAAAAGCACGCAGAGCAGTCATGCTAGCAGAACAAAACTCTGGGCAACTTTGCAGGAAAACCAGGTATCCCTGTGAGCCTCAAAACCCAAAGGTGGGTAGAAATAAACTACCAATAACCACAAGGTCTGCATGGTGTCACATTCTGTTCCAGAGGAAGCAGTGGTGCATCTGATGGATCTCAGAACTCCAGAACACGTTTGCGCTCACTTGGAAGTTCAGCAAGTCAATTCGAGAACAACAGTCAAACTAGGAGGGGCTTGCAGTTCATACAGAGAGTGCTTGGTTAGGTTTGAAGGGACTGGAGCAGCAGTCTGGACCCAAGGAAATTCTGAGCAGCAAAGCTCCCAGAACAGAGCTCCACACTGCAAAAAACTGATGGAATCTGAATTGAGCAGGACAATCAACCTAGAGGTGGAGGGGTGGAGGGTCACATTCAGTGGAATATTTTGAGTAAAAGTGAAACCAGGATTGTCCCTGTAATCCAATTTTATCCTTCTAGGAACAATATAAAAGTATTAAATAACTTACCTTATTCTTTACCTCCTGAGAGAAACAATTGGTCATGAAGTTCTAATTATATACTCTGCTGAATTTAAGAGCCATTGTTTGCACAGTCCTTATTAAGTACTACAGAACCTTGAAACTAGGAAAACTCATAAATCATACCTCCATTCTAAAAGTGCAGAAAAACTAACTCATAAAAAATATGTGTAACAGAAAAGACCGAAGTCAAATTCCAAGCAATTAAAAGGAAGTAAGGAGCAGGATAATATGCCAGAAACAACAGAAGCGTGCTAATGCAACAGGACAAGAAAAGGGGACGACAGGTGTACAGACAGGGAGGGAAGGAATAACTGAAGGAAAAAGGAACCAATAGAGCAGGGTTGCAGGATACAAAGTTAATGATACAAATGTCAGTTGCTTCCCTATATATCAACAACAAACCATTGGAATTTGAAAGTTAAAACACAGTAACATCTACACTAGCTCCCCCAAATACGAAATAGATATAAATATGACAAATTATTTAAAAGACCTCTATAGGTAAAACTATAAAACATGAAAGAAAGAAAAGAACTACGTAAACAGGGATATTCCATGGTCATGAATAGGAAGACTCAGTGTCAGGCTGTCAGTGCTCAACTTGGTCTTTAGATTTGTAATCCCAATCAAAATCCCAGCATGGGTATTAGACTGATTCTAAAGTTTATAGGCAGAGGGTGAAAACCCAGAATAGCCAACACAATATTGAAAGGGAAGAACAAAGTCAGAGGACTGACTTGGACTTTAAGACTTACTCTAAAGCTACAGTAATCAAGACTGTGGTGTTGGTCTTGGAATAAGAATAGACAAACAGATCAGTGGAACAGAATAGAGCGCCCAGGAACAAACCCACACAAATATACTCAGCTGATATTTGACCGACAAGCAAAGGCAATACAATGGCGAAAAGATAGTCTTCAACAAATGGGGTTGGAACTACTGGACATCCACATGCCAAAAATGAATATAGACACAGACCTTATACTCTTCATAAAAATAAACCCAAAGTGGATCACAGTCTAAAAGTAAAAAGCAGAACTATTAAATACCTACAAGGTAACAGAAAAACCTAGAAAACCTTGATTTGGGGAATGACACTTGAGATAAAACACCAAAGCCACATCCATGAAAGAAGTAACTAGTAAACTGGACTTGATCAAAATTAACATCTGCTCAGCTAAGAGTATGAGAGAAAGTACTTGCAGAAGACACTTCTAATGAAAGATTGTTACCCAACATGAAAAGAACTTTTCAAACTCAACAGCAGGTAAGCAGACAATCTAAAGCAATCTACAGATTCAATGCAATCCCTATCTAAATTCCAGTGGCATTTTTCACAGAAATAAAATAATCAGTCCTGAAATATATGAAACTACAAAAGAGCCCAGATAGCCAAAACAGTCTTGAGAAAGAACAAAGCTGGAGGCAGGCATCATGCTTCCTGATTTCACACTGTATTAAAAGGGCATGATGATCACAGCAGTACAGGATTGGTGCAAAAATCAACATGCATCAGTGGAACAGGATATAAAGAGCCAAAAAATAAACCCACCTATGTGTGGTCAATTAATTTACAACAGAGGAGCCAAGAATATGCAAGAGGGAAAGGACAATCTTCAATAAATAGTGTTGGGCAAACTGGACAGCCACACATAAAGGAATGAAGTTGGACCACTATCTTGGACCGTAACACAAAAACTAGCTCAAAATGGATTAGACTTGAATGTAAGACTTGAAACTACAAAACTCCTAGAAGGAAGCAGGCATTAAGCTCCTTGACATTGGTCGTGGTGATGATTTTTTAGATTTGACACCAAAAGCAAAAGTAGACAAGTGAGACTACATCAAACGAAAGCTTCTGCATAGCAAAGGAAACCATGGACAAAAATAAAAAGCGACCTCCTGAATCAGGGAGAATACTTG